TTTATTTTATTATTCTTAGTATTTTATTTCTTACAATTCTTGGTATAGAATTCTTGGTATATTGTAAGACTAGTATATTAAACTATATAACACTCTCAATACTTCTATTAGAACACTAGTCATCATCTTCATATTAAACTTCATCCAAAGAAAAAATTCATCTATTACAAATGAGTATATGTGAAAGATTTAAGATTTTGGCCTAATTTTTGGAATTTTTGTCTTTAGTTGTAAAGGAATTTTACACATTTGTAGTTGAAATATATATATATATATATATTTTAGAAGAAATTTAATAAAATATTTATTATTATATGTGTGGTTGACAAACATTGTAATTTGATTTCCTTGGCAAGTATCTTTTTCATTATGAAATGGTATTGTGTCTCTACATGTTTGCTTTTAGAATGGTATTTAGAATTTTTACTAAAAGCAATTGCACTTTGGTTGTCTAAATATACTATTTTTGATTCATGTTAGGAAAATCTAAGTTCATCTAGTAATTTTTGCAGCCATATTGTTTCAACCATTACTTTAGTTAAGGCCATCTATTCTAATTTTGTTGATGATAAAGCAACGGATTGTTATTTTTTGCTATTCTAAGAGATAATTCTTTTAGCCAATAAGAAGCAAAATCAAGAAATAGAGCAATGGATGTCCTTGTAACATGCTTAGTTAGCATCAAAATATCCATGTAGAAAATCGCCTTGTGGTTATTTTTGATATTTTATTCCAAAATTTAATGTACCTTTTATGTATCTCATTGTTCTTTTTAAAGTCTGAATGTATGTGGTTCCTAGTTCAAAAAGATATTATGTTAAACTACTAATTTCATAAGCATAATATGATTTAGAATTAACAATAACATGTATGAAACTTCCAACAACTTGAGAATATAGATAATTTTGTGAAAATATGGATAATTTATTTTTGTATCTAATTCTAAAGGTTGATATGGATAAAAAATTAAGCATTGATCTAATCTTTGATACCATGCCCTAGAAGATTTTTTAAGGCCATATAAGGATTTATTTAACTTACATACCATATTAGTATGTGTAATGGATAAACCTTCAAGAATAGTCATATAGATATCTTCTTCTATTAAATTATTTTAAAATATTATTTTAATATCTAATTAGTATATTTTCAGATTATGTTGAGCAATTGAGGCAAGAAGAACTTTAATGGAGTTAAGCTTAATTACATAAGAGAATGTCTCTATATAATCAATACCTTGAACTTGGATAAAACCTCTTGCAATTATCTTTACTTCATACTTCTCAATAGTTCCATTAGCCTTAGTTTTGATTTTAAAATTCGACTTTGAATTGATTGATTTTCTATTAAAAGATTTTTTTTTTTAATTTTTCATGTATTATTTTTAACTAACAATATAATTTTAGCATTGATTTTTTTTCCATTCTTTAGCATTAGCCCTCTCTATTGCTTTTTAAATAGATTTTGAGACTTTTATGTTGGTAGAAATAAGATGGACTTGATGATTTTTATTACATTGTCAATTATATTCCTTTCTATCTTATATGGACTCTAAGAATCTTTTCGTTGGTTTAATAGTTCTTGTAGATTTAAAACTAGATAGAAGACTTGGCTCTTTCAATATAGAGTTGATTTTATCATCTTCAAGAAATAAGATTTCTTAACCATTATGTAATGGTAGTTGAGAAAAGATTTCAATGACATCAATGTAAGAAAAGGTTTTATTTCTGTATTTTGAAAATTACTATGTATTTTTTATTGATCGAATATATGTGGATCTTATAGTTGTTGTATTAGTTGTGAGGACATTCTTTGAGCATGAGATATGTTTTCTTTTCATTGAATCTTATAATTGTTGAAGGATGTTTAAATAGTTCTAAATCAATTAAAAGCTCTTTGTTATTCTTGTGCAAGAATAGTTTTGCTTTTTTATCATGTAGATCCTCATTGAAGAAAAAATCTCTTAAAACAAGAATTTGTTGATTTTGTGTATCCATGAATCTATAGACTTTAGATTCTTCACTATAGCCTAAAAAAATAGCTCTTTGAGAATGAGACTCTAGCTTCTTTTTTGTTTCTTTAGGAATACAAACATGAACTTTGCATCCATTTTAAAGTAGAAAATATTTAGTTGTCTTTTATACCCTAATTCAAACAATGTTTTGTTACCTTATATAGATTTTTTAGGGCTCCTACTTTAGAGATAATTTACTGTTTGGAGTACTTTACTCCAAAAAATTGTAGGTAAATTTGAATAAGATAGAATTACAAGAATTTCTTCTATTAATGTTTTATTTTAAAAAAAAAACACCATTTTATTGTGGTATATAATTAATAGTATATTCCTATTTGATTCTTTCTTTTTTACATAAATCTTTAAATTCATTTGATTTGCATTCACATCCATAATCAAATCTTAAGATTTTTATTTTGAGACTTATTTGTTTTTTCACAAAAATTTTATATAAAGTGAATTTATCAAATGCTTTAAATTTGTATTTCATTAAATATACATGACAATATTTTGATAGGTCACCAATAATTGTGATGAAGTAAGTACATCTAGAATGTGTTCCTACCTACATAAGACCACAAATGTCAGAATATTTAAGTTCTATTAATTGTATAGTTCTTTATACATCTTGTGTAAGAAATTTTTCTATATATTACTTATCTTCTATACAAGGTTGATATAAGATAATTTTCTTTTTATTAAAAAAATTAATCTCCTTTGCTATTTTTTGTATTTATTTTAGTCTTTGTTGATTTATGTGTTCTAATCTTACGTGCTACAAATCAGCTTTGTTTAATTGTGTAATAGCTAGAATAGTAATTTGATGCTTTTTTAATATAAGTATTATACTTAATTAATATAAATCAGGGTTTTATTTGCATATTGTAACAAATTAAATTTCATAAAATTTATTTATGAGTATAATTGCTCTAACTCTAATACAAATTTTTTCTCCTATTTTATTCAATTGTTTAGCAGAGAAAAAATTATTTGTAAGTCTTAATATATATAAAATATCAAATATGATTTTTTCATGTTCATTTATAAGTTTTATATTTAATCACTATATCCTTCTATTATATATGATATAGTATCATCTCCTAAGTAGACAACTTGCTTGTCTTTACTTTTAATGTATTTGACAAATCCTTCTTATTCATGATACATGTATTGAGTTGCTCCTCAGTCTACATATCCTATTGAATCTTATTTTTCTTTGACTATAAGTGATGTCATATAAACTTTGTTTGATTTTGTAATCACATTTTTTAAGAAAAAAAATTGTTATTAGAATTTTTATTTAATATTCTTATTTGACAATCTTTAATATGGTTTCTTGAAAAAAAAGTACTTATCAATAACAAGATTTTTCTTTTCATGTGGCTTAAAAATACTATTCTCTCTTTATGAATTCTTTTTGATGTTCTTATTAAAATAAGATATCTTATTGTAATTCTAAAATTTCTTATCTATATATATGTTTAATGTATTATTAAATGTTAAACTCATATTTTTTATGAGAGTTTCTTCCTAGGTCAAATCTATTATTAAACATTATAATATGATTCTAAATTACTTTTTAAGGAGCTAATGAAGGATTTATAAATTAGAGGCAAACTTCTCATTAATGTGAGAATTACCTCATCATTTGGAACTACTGATTATGCTATTAACAATTATTTCAAATGTACTCTAAAGATATGTATGTATTTAATGACACTATCACCTTCTCTCATTGTTGAAGTATATAACTTGTCTTTTAAATACATTTTTGTTACAACATCTTATGATTCAAATATTTTTACTACTTCTATACATGCTAAATGTGGTGATGTACTAGATTGTATATGTGAAACAATATTGTTTTCTTTGCAATTCTTATTATAGTTAAAGACAAGGTATCTTATCTATCCATGTGCTTATATTCTCTACTCTTATGCTAGATAAAGCTAGGATTTTGGAAGCAATTTCAACTACCATTGGTTCTATTAATAAAAATTCTTTACTACTTACTACTTTTAGCCTTTAAAACTAATATTAGTCTATATTTTTATATTTTAAAATAGGAACCATCAAATTTTGGAAAATGATTGATATCCACCTTTTGGATCATCCTCAATATTATTAATTTGAAGTTGATTTGAGATTATTTATTAATTTATTCTTAAATAATTCAATTTTACCTTTGCTTATGGTTTGTAAGTTTCCATTTTAAGATTTAGAATTGCTTCTCATGGTTTAAAGAACTTCAAGTTCTTCATCTACCTTTTCTATTACAATAGATTGTTTTATTGTTATCATTACAATCTAATTTGTTATTTTAGCAATTTTTTTCTAAGTAAAGTATTCATTTACTCTTATATTTTTAAGGATCAAATATTTCTATAGCTTTGATACCATGTAGGAAACAACTTATGTTATATTATATGCAATCACACATTACACATTATAGTTATAAGCACCCTAGTATAATAAGGAACCTGTTTCTGGACACGGTTCTTGCTACAACTTTGCTGTGCATCCCATCTGCCTTTGCTGTCCAGTACTCTTGCAATGTTGGTTAGTCCTTGACAGCCATGAAGCAACAGATACCTATATGTTTAGCGAGAGAGAGAGAGAGAGAGACAATAATTTGAATATTCACTTGATTTTAAAAAATGTTTACATAATGAGTTTATGTATAGTAAATAAATAATATCTTCAATATTTTATGCATTTAAAAAAACACTCATAGATTTAGTTAGTGTAAATAATATTTCTAAGGCTGCAAAATAAATGTTAAAGAAGAGCTATGAAATAATGACTGGAGTTAGATCAATGGAGGGAGGGGGGTAGGGTAGGGATGGAAAGTTCATGGAATTCGGAATTCATCTTGCTTGGGGAAGGGAGTCGGCCCAGCAGCAAGCATGCAAGCAAGCTATGTATGCCATACAGACAAAGAAAAACGCAATGAAATAAAATATAAATTAACCTTAAAAAGGCAAAATTAAAAATCCAGGGACAAATGCGACAAATTATTTTATTTATTTGTTTATTTATTATTGTACACAAATTTGATCCTGGAAATAGCCATCAGGGACAAGCAGCCTCGTGGCAGAGCGAGACCTCGGGGGCTGGGTGGCGGCATATCTCCACTGCTGGTGCCTCCTCCTGGTGCCTCCTCCTGGTGCCTCCTCCTGTTTTGCCTTGCCTTGTCTTGTATTGTGCTGTGTAAAGTGGGGTCTCTAACAGTGTGCTACCCTCCCCGACCTTGTTTCTTTCCATTACAATGGGCACCACCAAATCCATGCTCTGCTTTGGGATAATTTCGTTGTATTGTCGTCCTTTCACCCGAACAATTCTTGGTGGGCTGTTTCTCCACATGTGTAAAGGCTTTGGTGCGAGATTGTGCTCTACCGGGGATCGATCTTGCCCTTGAGGGAGGCCTTCATGTCACATGACATGTCTTGCCATGAGTTGGACGATGGTTCCCCACTCGAATGAGCCTTCCTGTGACCGAGTTCGATAGAGAACGTGTCCGGATCCTCCTTCCATGAATCTGATACCTTTAACTTGTTGATGCGCCAAATGTCTTCCAGCTCTCTCACTATATCCACCATGCGGGGCCGTGCATCACTCTCATTTTGGCAGCAAGCCAATGCCAGCTTGAGTAGTGGCTCCAACCCTTGCTTCGATGGAAACGTCCCCATCTGTGGATCAGCAATCGACATTATGTCCCCCTCCTCCATGGCTCGGTTCACCTGTTCACGGGCCTATATTAGTCAATAAGCTTTGCCCTACACGACGGAATAAAGGAGATTACATTGTTCTGAGCTCAAAACAGCCTGCATGGTAAAACGATTATCTGATGCTTTAGGAAAGAGCCCACCTCTCTGACAATGTTCTTGCCGTAAGCAATGGGGAACATTCCTGTAATCAATTCCAGCAGCACAATGCCGAAACTGTAAACATCGGTCTTGTCTGTTAGCTTCTGTGTCAAAAAATACTCCGGGTCCAGATAGCCCTGCGTCAAGGCCACAAGTTGTCAAAGCTCAAAACACTAGTCCTACGCCATCAAACACATATGGCAGCTACAATTGTGACTCACTGCTATTCCAGCCATGCGCGGCTACAAGTAAAGTTACTAACCGGTGTGCCCTTGACAATGGTGGACACATGCTGTGGGGTGGCACCGTTGGGGTCAGGCATGGGCGCCAACTTCGAAAGCCCAAAGTCCGCCACCTTGGCATTATAGCGCTCGTCAAGAAGAATGTTGCTGGCTTTGATGTCCCGGTGAAATATGGGTGGGTCTGCTTCCGTATGCAGATACAGGATGCCTCGTGCAGTCCCCAGCGCTATATGTAGTCGCCTTGCGAAGCCCATAATCTCCGTCGCTGTAGTGGGATGCACACACGTACATTCTAAGCATCGGTACCTCAACACTGCATAATAAATAAAATTTAATGAATAGAATATCAAAATTAGCCTCAAACACGTGAAGATGGAGCTTACGAGTCAAGTGGTCCCGAAGTGTGCCGCCTGCCATAAACTCGTACACGAGCATCTGCTCTCCACGATCATTGCAATACCCCAGAAGGCTGACGAGATTCCGATGATGAACCCTCGAGAGCAGTTCGATCTCGGTGTAGAATTGGACTGCATTTTGCATGGAACCCTCCTCCGCGCGTTTAATGGCCACCGGAATTCCGTCAGGAAGCACGCCCTTGTACACTTTTCCATAACCGCCCTGCCCAAGTTCATTGTCTGGATTGAAATTGTTCGTAGCCCGCGAAACATCCTCAAACGTGAATCCCTTCACACCTTGAATTTTGATACCGGGCGGAAGCATCATTCCGCCTGCGAAGCACTCACGCCCACGTTTATTACATTACAGTCACCACCCAGTAACGACACGACAAGATTCTACAAACGTGATCATGTATGGATGGATGCGCAAGTGTAGGAACACTCCTCACCGTATAGCTTGCTGTTATTCCTGTTGGAGTACTTCGAGCGTCTGCGAAGTAACAAGAAGGTCAAAAGAGCTGCTAGTGCCGAGGCAACAGCCACTGCGCCAACGACAATGCCCACCACGACTCCCGTTCCCAGCCCATTCTTCTTGGCACTGCCAACTCCTGCATCATCGCATGCACGATTCACTCCAACATAATGCACCCACAATCCTTCTACATGGTGATAATAAGGAGAATGGTGCGAGAGAGAATATTTTTCATACCCCGGAAGAGATCCATGAAGTCGTAGGGTCCTGCAAAAGATACCGACCACTCTTCACCGGCAGATACATTCCATGATGCGAATTGGAAGAAGATATTGTCATATTCGGTCTGAGTGAAGGTGCTGGCGACAGCTGGGAACACCAGCAAGGTGATATCCTGGGAATACAATTGCGACACTCGAGTGGCTGCCGACAATACTACTTGATACTGCGAGATGCTCAAAGCGCGCGCGGTGAGGCCTTCGATGTAGCTAATATAGCTTGCATCGAAGTAAGTAAAACTAGGACTCTTGAGGCGGATTTTGACGGTGATCGGCACGGCGCACCCACATGTCATATTTGGCGATAATCCCCGGTTGACGGCTACTGCAGGAGAATCACATGACGTACATCCGGTTGCAAACAATAGAGGTGAGTCCCAGTATGCAAGCGGATCTGATCCCGTGCACACACGACGCTGAACCTGCGCTGTTATGTAGTTGGAATTGTTTCCGCAAAACACATCATTGCCGTCCAACCTGAATGCACTCATCGAAGGCAAGCTCGAGTTAGTCTCCAGTACCTATTTCTGCTCTGCACAGTTCCTGGGCTTACCACGTTCACGTTTAACATGTTCACTGAGACGTCAAGGAAAACGTGGAGGGGAAATACTTGCCATATTGTCTTGTTTGAGTGACTCGTCAATTCCACGGTTTTCACATCCCAGCCGGAGAAATTATTATTTTGAAGGTCACTGGCATACAATAACCGGGGTCAAAAAAAGGAAGGATCTTTTGCCGTCTCAGTGGTTGATAAGTTAATCGAGTACCTCGAGGAAGTTGGGGGAGAGTGGAGCAACGAATAAGTTGAACGCAAATATAGACAAATCTATAGAAACGCCATTTAGGGAGAACACTGCACGGGTACTTACAGGACGACAATCTGTGAATCGTTCGTGAAGCTCTTCCCGGCTCCAAAAGCTGGAATTGAACCTTCGAGGTTATTGTTCGACACATCCCTGCAAAAGCACCACTTTAAATGCTTAATGAATCTACTGTGCAGCTGCGAATCTGAGATGTTAGGAATGCAAATCAGTGCGACTTAGGTACGACAGAGGCACCTATAACACATACAAGTTTTGGATGTAATCAAGAGCTGCGTATTCCGGTGGAATTATTCCATTGAGCCGGTTGTTGCTGAAACCCCTGGCACAAGAAATATGAAAATTTTTTAGGCAATCCAACATATAAACATACTCATTGTGAAACGAATCGGAAGAATCAACACGCACAGTTTGGCTCATGGTTAATTTTGTCACGTTTGGGTGGCTTACAGTGTAATCATCTGGGAACTTATATTTGTAGGCAAGCTTCCTCTGAGGTTGTTGTAGCTCATGTCTCTGCAGACCCACTTCTAATAAGATTTCAAGCACATACCCTCGAGTAAAATAAATTATCGACGATCTCACACAGGACCACCTCAGAAACGGTGAGCATTGAGATGCGATTCACGTGACATGCTACTCACATGAAAGTCAGGTTTGACATGTCTTGGATGTTGGGCACAGTATCCGTTATTGAACAGTTCCGTAAGCTCCTGGAATTGATATATTGTATCACGTCAACACCAAAATCGAACTGGAGAGTCGTGCAATGAAGCTGAAGAAATGCAAATATGAATTCCAGAGCAATGGGATGAATTTTAGAATGCTCACAGTTTGATGAGTGTCGGGATCCGCGCCCAAGCAACTGGAAGAGAGGAGCCAATAGGATTGTCATCCAATTGTCTGCAAAATTGAGCGTAGAACAACATACAGAGATACATAAGATAGACCCATGTCTCAGAAAAGCAAAGGCAATCGTGGCCTGGGATCACTAAGATGAGTGACGAAGATAGATCCATGTTCGCATGTCAGTGGTCCTTACATGATAGTGAGTGCCGGGGCATTGGCAAGAGCCACGGGCAGCGGGCCTCTTATAAGGTTGTGATCCAAAATAAGATGGTTGAGGCGGCCTAGTCTACCCAAGTCCGGCGGAATGACATCACTGAAGGAATTGTTGTTCATGTGCCTGCAGCCAACAAGAAAGACTAAGGTTTCACCAATCCGAAAAAACAGGAAACAACATCAACACGGGTGAAACTGGGAGACCAAAAGATTTTTCCAATTCACAGATTTATTGAGGATGGATTAGCATTTCGGTAGGCGACACTCACAAATGTCTCACTGACGTTAGGTTGCCAAACTCCGCAGGTATGGGTCCCGACAGCCGATTGGCATCGACCTGAAAACGGGTCATATTGGTAAGGCCTCCAAGCTCAGGTGGAAGGCTACCTTCCAACCGATTGTCATTCACCAAGCTGTCATTTCCCACACCAGTTCAACAATTGGGTTTCTCGTTATAACAACTTTGCATGTACAGAGCACTCATTCAATCGCTGAAGCGGTTAGTGATAAGCCAATTCTTAGCATGTTCACAGTAAATCTGGAGAAAGAACCTGAAACTTACAATAGTCTAAGGTTGCGCAACTTGCCAAGATCAGATGGGATGGTTCCCGTCAAACCCGTATTCATCACGTTCCTGTCAAGCAGGATTTCAAACGACAATGAGGCGCACAGCAACATGAATGACTACCAAAAAATAAACTCGAGAGGTTATGGCTATGTGGAATGATGAATCAAGACTGCAAAGTTATGTGAACCTCAGCTAGGATACACAAAAATCAACTTGAGTTGAACGAATTGTTCAGAATCCATTGAGTATTGAGTACATCACTCACAATCGTAGAAGGCGCGATAAATTTCCTAACTCGGGCACCAAGGTTCCCCGCAAATTATAATTCATAGCTCGTCTGTAATATTGCACATAACGTGTCCAAGTAAGCGTGTCAGCATACCAAGACAGTGACAAGACAGAATCCTAATGCGGCTAAATTAGTTCTCTTGAGTAAAACTTATGCATCCAAACCATAAACTTCAGAATGTGTCCCAACAGTAGTAGAATGTGTAGAGCAAGGTGAGAGATGGCTAGGCTTTGATGTAAAGTGACGATTGAGAGAAAGAGTAGGCCTTACATTTCGATGACATGCGACACATTGGTAGTTCTATCAGCGACGTCGCAATAAATTCCTTGCCATTCAGGGGGACCGCAGGGATTGTTTCCTATCCAGCTGCTTAGCTTGCCGTCAGGGTCTGGCTGGGCCTTCTTAAATGCCAAGAGCGCCGCAGCTGCAGTCAGTGCACATTTTTTACGCTGTAGGGTTAATTCGTCCAGTACCACGCAGACCCATTCAGTTATGGGCAGACGCATACAAAGAACTTTACCCACTTGACACTAGGAATTACAGAAACCTCACATCAATAAAGGGTCAGATTCACTCCTCCTTAGAAGTCGGGGCTACGACCGAGGCCTTTACTGTGTGTCTTAGTCTGCTCTAAATTTTGGAAATTACAGTTTCATCCACATGTTGTGATATTCGTGCGCCAAAGACAAGGTACGTGTTATGTGTACTGTGTAAGACTTACTCTCAACAGAATCCGAGAGCGCCACTGCACTGAACAACGCCGACAGGTTTAACAGGCTAATGAACATGATCAGGAAAACCACCCTCATCTTTGACGCCATCCAGCTCCTTGCCCTTCTCAGTTTCATTTGCTGTCCAGTGTAGTGTAAATCAATTCTTGTGGCTCTGCCTGCTACCGCTATCATGTGCTGATTTTTTTTCACTTCGACCCCAGATCGAAGTTTTGCTTGGCTACTACTCAACAGGATGACCCACGCCGCTTCTTAGAAAATGGACCACCTCTAGTTTTGCGACTGTCCAGAAAAATCCTTGCTCCTTACTCGACATGAGAAAGATCTTCCAAAGGCTATGGGTAGCACGATGTGTGAGGTGAGTGTGTGGGGGAACCGAAGAAAAATTGCAACGAATAAATAAAATGAAGAACGCTTCATTTCTCCTCAAATCTGCAGTTGGAAAACTTCAGTCGAGTGGAGATAAAATGATACACTCTGATCAGAGAATCCTGAACTATCCTACTAACGAGTGCTGGAGAAACGACGAAGTCACATGTAGAGAAGCGGCAAGCACCTGATGCAATGTGATGGTATGGTATGGTATGCAAAAGTACCGGAAGCGTGAATTTGAATTGAAACCAGGCGGGTCAGGAATAGAAGTTTTGAATGCAAGGTACTAACAGTGCCGGGATGGATTAAAGACAGGGTTGTAAGTGGAGGTGAAGGGAGCGAACGGCGGAGGGAGAGGGGGATAAGAAGGGAGAACGGCACGCAGCGTGAAACGACGCAAAGAGAGAGAAACCCAGGGTAGAAGGAAGGGTGCAAAGGAAGGAGGCACCGAGGAGGAAGTCCCAGCCTGATTCCTGAGGAAGCGTGGAAATGCGTGGTCAAACTGACTTTACTCGGGGCTCGTAACCAGTCCGCCAGGAGTCCACAATCAACAGGAGTAGAATAATCCAATTCGTGGTCACACTTGGAAATCCTGTGGCACAAGTGAGAGCATACGTCCCGGTGCACTTGCAAGAAGTGATAGCACGCCGAGAGGGTAGACCCACCACTTCATCACGGAGTCCATGCGAGGGCACTTTTGGGGGATGCATCGGACCACGGCGATGAATTTGGTGATGCGGTTGCAACCTTCGCACGCAT